TAACCAGCTAACTAGAATGTGATGCCCCCAGGGAGTCCGGGCAGTGACAGTTTCTGGTCCCACAGAGTATGGAGCTAAACCGTGCAGCATTAATCCACGTCACAGTGACATCAGAACAAGTACTGGCTGTCCCAAAGAGGGGCATCCTAGCTCCGCCTCCTTCCTGGAAGCTGAAGCTAGTTCAGCAGACGGCTAGACTAGCTTTCTTGGCATTCTGGGGAAAGACCCGTTTCTACCCAACCGTCCGTCCCAGAAGCCAGTCTGGTCCTTCTCGGGGCTCTGTCCTCCTTAATCCCTTCACTCCCACCCAGTTACTCCTAAGATTGGTTGCCTTTCTCCTTCAAGATCTCAGAGACACTTTAAGAAAGTTGTGGGCCAGAGGAGTGTTGGCAGTGGTGTGCTGGAGCGAGCTCATATTGGCTCCCGAGAACAGATTGTTAAGTTTTCAGGAATTTTGTGAGCCAGTTGTTAAACAGGGCCATTATTAAGAATGATCTTAGCTTACAGTTTAATAAATTATATAAAAAGCCAGAGTTCATCCCTTTCCTACTTGAATGCTGTGTCCTAAGTTATTCTGTTGTACATGCTTGGCAGAAATACCGTATAACGTGTGCTCCTCTGCCCAGGGCTGCGTTCAGTTACGTGGCATAAAGCTGGCCCTGCTGGGTGTATTTTCACCACAGAAATTGGCACACACAAATCAGGGTTCCCTCCCACCCCTGATCTGATTTTTACACATTGTCCAGCATAGACTACTGGATATCGGATGCTGCCTTGCTGTTAGCTCCTGAGACTAGAAGGCTTTGTGCAGCACTGACTTCTGATGCCCGCTGAGAGCAGTGCTTTGGGCAGGCAGCCTGAGGGCTCCTGGCCCAGTAGGTGTGACCTCGGTTCTTCCCTCTTCCCAGGCCCTTCCATACTTTGACCGTCTAGACTACGTGTCCATGATGTGTAACGAACAGGCCTATTCGCTGGCCGTGGAGAAGTTGCTCAATATCCAGCCTCCGCCACGGGCACAGTGGATCCGAGGTACGCTCCGTCACCCTCCTGTGGCCCTCCCTGGCCACTGCCCATCTTAGGAATGTTGAACCCAAACCTAGTGTGCAGACCCCAGGCTCTGTGTGGAACTGCCCTGTCAGCATCGGTTGTTGGCTCCTATGTCCTTCTCTTCCTGTTGTCTTCACCTGTCTACAGTGCTATTTGGAGAAATCACACGGCTTTTGAACCACATTATGGCTGTGACTACACATGCCCTGGACATTGGAGCCATGACCCCTTTCTTCTGGATGTTTGAAGAGAGGGAGAAGGTAAGAGGAGGAGGGAAGGACAGGAGAGACAAGGGAGTAGAGGAAGTGGAGAAGGTTCTTGAAGGAGACAGGAGACCAGCAGGAGAGAGAACATGAGAGGGAGAAGGGCCACTGAACTTGGGTTATATTCTTAAGGAAGCCTGTGGTTTGCTTGGGCCCAGGAAGCCAGGGGGCTGGGGAGTGGACCAGTATGTTGTCAGACTTGGGGGCGCAGGACTTTGTCACTAATTCCCAGTGTGCCCTGTCCAGATGTTTGAATTCTACGAGCGCGTGTCAGGGGCCCGCATGCATGCTGCTTATGTCCGGCCAGGAGGCGTGCACCAGGTGAGCAGGCTCCCCCGCCTTCCAGAGCCTCCAGCCCACGCCTGTACTCTCGGTGGCCACTGGAGGGCAGCGCTGGCCGATGAGACGCTCCCCTTCCCCCAGTGCAGCCCTGGGGCTGGGCAGGGAGGCTGAGCCTCCCTCACCGTCAGGCTCCATTTGGCTTCTAGGACCTGCCCCTTGGGCTTATGGACGACATCTATGAGTTTTCTAAGAACTTCTCTCTCCGGGTTGATGAGCTGGAAGAGGTAAGATAAGAACCAGGGGGAAACCCCTCCTGTCCCCTCAAGATGGGCTTGTGGGGTTTTAATTCCCAGTTGTAAACGGCAACCAGGAGGTATCTGAAGCGGGGGATGAAGAGTGTTCATATTCCAGTTTCCTTGGTTGGTAGATGCTGACCAACAATAGGATTTGGAAGAATCGGACAGTTGACATTGGGGTTGTGACGGCCGAAGATGCGCTGAACTATGGATTTAGGTGCGAGGAATGTGACTTCTCCACTTGGCCATGGGGGTTCCAGCCTAACGTCTTGGCTTCAGGAAGGGGTGACACCGTCATATCCTGCGCCCAGGGCGTGGGGGAGGGCATGGGGAGAGCAGGGAGGAGAGTGGTTCCTTTCTGGGTTTGTGGAAAGTGACCCTTGGTCCCCATGATGCTCTCCAGTGGTGTGATGCTCCGGGGCTCGGGCATCCAGTGGGACCTGCGGAAGACTCAGCCCTATGACGTTTATGACCAGGTGGACTTCGATGTTCCTATTGGCTCTCGAGGGGACTGCTATGACAGGTAAGGCCTAGAACCTCTCAGCTCATTTTCCAGCTGCTTCCCCTGTCCGACTTCTCTTTTGCTTCCTTTTTCATTCCCCCATTTTCCGGTATCATTGGAGCTCTTGTGTCTGTTAAGCTAGGTGGTTTTTCAAAGCCGTCTTATTTTACCTTCACTTATCCTCATATCTCAGATGGAACCAGTTTGGGCTGCATTTTTGTAGTTGAGGCGTAAAGGTTGGAGATCAGCCTGGGATTATCCTGTTGGTAGTGCTTGAGACTCGAATTCTCCAGACCCAGTGCTCTTTCCACTGAATTCTAAACTTCACATTCCATTCCTGTTTACTGACCCTAAATAAGACCGTGTTTTCTTTTTGAGTTGATTTGACCCTCACCCGTTGTGTAGTCCAGGAAGTATCCAAGAGGGTAATGGAGGAGGGAAGCGCTCCAAGACATGGCCTGAGACCAGGAGAGGCCTTGGGGCAGCAGCCGATACCAGAACCAGAGACTAGAGGGTTTCCATGGGCAGGTGGCCAAGCCAAGCAGAGGTGCTCCCCTGGGAGAAAAGACAGAGGGAGGCAGTTAGCCAGCACCTTTTGGGTCAGCCAGGGGTGTCCTTCCTGGGCTCCTGTCTCATGCTTTGACTGCTCCCCTCTTGCTCTGAGCCTATCTCCTCCACTTCAGGTACCTATGTCGGGTGGAGGAGATGCGCCAGTCCCTTCGAATCATCGAGCAATGTCTGAACAAGATGCCTCCCGGGGAGATCAAGGTTGATGATGCCAAAGTGTCTCCGCCGAAGCGAGCAGAGATGAAGGTTGGCTCTGTGGAGAGGGCCAGGGCGGGGGGCGGGGGGAGCAGCAGCCAGGAAAGAGTGTCCTTGGATTACATCCTGCTCCCCAGCTTTCGTTCTTTGAAAGACTTGACATTACATGAGTCTTAACCTCCCACAGCCACGTCTTTCACTGTGTCTCGCTTGCTCACAGTGTGGGTTGTAATCTCCCCGGGGGACGGTTATTTCCTGTGCCGCGGGAGACCCAGGAGACATCTGGCCCTGGCTTACTGCTGCTCCCTTTCTCCTCTGTCCAGACTTCAATGGAGTCATTGATCCACCACTTCAAGTTGTACACGGAGGGCTACCAGGTCCCTCCGGGGGCCACGTACACTGCCATCGAGGCTCCTAAGGTGAGGAGGGACAGGGAAGGCAAATGTCCCCATAGAGGGCTGGGGACAGATGCCCAGGCAGAGGCTCGGTCCTCAGCGAGAGAGGACACGCGGGTGAATAGAGAGGCTCCGTTGGCAGAGAAGAGCGCTCTTCCTGTTCACGGGAGCCAACCTTCTTCCTCGGACAGGGAGAGTTTGGGGTGTACCTCGTGTCTGATGGCAGCAGCCGCCCTTACCGATGCAAGATCAAGGCTCCTGGTTTTGCCCACCTGGTAAGAGCCAACTCCAGTGATTCTCACTCCAGTCAATGAATCCATCGCGAGTGACGTTGATTGAGATTTTGATGAACGTTCCTTCCTTCTCCTCCCGCCCTGCTCATCTTGCCTGTCTCAATCTCTCCAGGCCAGTTTGGACAAGATGTCCAAGGGACACATGCTGGCGGATGTTGTTGCCATCATAGGTACAAGGCCTGTTGGGTGGTAGAGATGCTGTAGATGAGGGAGTCTGGAACTCTTAACGGGGGCAGAGACCGAACATTTCCTGTGGAGCATGGACATAGACTATGGGCATGGACTTGAATCCTCAGTGTGCTGGGCATGGTAATGAGTGCTGGATTTTAACACTGCCCCCCCCCCTTTAGGTACCCAAGATATCGTGTTTGGAGAAGTGGATCGGTGAGCTGGGGAACAGTGTTTGATTCCCCTGCTTCTCTGCTTCCTCCTCGGAGCCCGGCCGTCACTGGACAGTAACTCTGTGTGTGTGTGTGTGTGTGTGTGTGTGTGTGTGTGTGTACACATGTGGACATTCAGCCATCAGGCTTTCTGTGCATGCACTAGAAAAGGAGAAATTATAATAAATTAGCCATCTTCCGGCCCCTCTGCCCAAACTTCTGGTATGTCTTTTTCGGTATCTTACCGTCTTTCACTTTGTCAGAAAACTCAAGAATGTGACTTAACCCTCCCGTTCTCTGAGACTCAGTTATGCCAGTTTTTCCTGCGTTGCGCATCTCCACCCCCTTCTCTGACTCTTGTCCTTTCCACTTCTCCATTCCCCGTTTCCTCTTTTTCCCCTGCCCAGGCTTGACTGCCTACACAAATCGGTAAACCTCTGGAATCAAGACGGGGGTACAGTTCCATGTGGAAGGGAAAGGGCCGCATGGGGTGGGGTGTCAGGGACTCCGAAGGGAAGGTGGGCTCCAGATGTGTGTGAACGTGGAGTGGCCGTGGATTCAGATGGCCTTTCTCAAGCACGGGCGGACCCCGCCATCCCTTGGTGACTGGGGCTTGGCCACCGAAAAACTGCCCCTTCCCTTGGTGACTGGGGCTTGGCCACCAAAGAACTGAGGCTCGAGAGCACAGACCTAGCTCCTTTGGTTGGCCCTTCCGGGAGCCGCCCGGGCTCTGATGCAGGAAGGGGAAGGGGCCAAAGCTGGGGGAAGGCGGGGCAGGAAGGGGGGAACTCTGTGGTCAGGGAGCCGCTCTGAGCACAGCTGCGCAGTGCTGCCGGAGCGTCCGATCCCCGGTTCCCCGCCCTCCAGCCCCCTGTCCAAGATGGTCCCAGCAGTGGTCTTGCTCCTGCTCCTTTTGGTTGAACAAGCAGGTGAGAGGGTTTGCTGAGGGCCCACGAGCTGGGCACCACGGTGGGACTCGAGGGCGTGTGTCTCACGCTGAGCCAGGGGCAGACGGGGAAAGGCCGGTGGGCACAGGGTTCGGATGGACCCCGAGACCTCGAGGCTAGTCCTGGCTGGTCCCCATCAGGGCACAAGAGTCCTGGTTCCCGCCTTTCTTGTCTCCTTACCTTTTCAGGATCGATAACAGGTAAGGCTTCAGTTTGGCAGGGGAGGGAATGGTCGTGTGACACGAAAAGCCCATCTGGGGAGAAGCTCCTTTTCCCATGATCAGCATTTCCTGTGTGGTGCCTTTGGGCTGGTCCCTGGGGAGCTGGTCTCTAGCTGGCTCATAATATTTACAGAGGCCCCCTAAGGAAGGCGGGAGCCTGTCCTCCGGCTTGGGATCACTCCCAGGCAAGGATGGTCAAAGTGGAAGTGTTTTCTGCTGCTGTGAGTCATCGGGAGCACAGACCATCCTGCCACCAGCTGCTACGGGCGGGGGAGGTGGTGGCAGCACGCGATGCCCGCTTCTGGAGGCCTGAGCGCCAGCCCAGAAATGGAGGCAGACGTGGGAAGGTCTCAGCGGCCTTAAGGCTCCAGTCGCTCAATTTCTGAACTGTCCCTTGCTCTCTGGGCCGTGTGCGTGTGCGTGTGCGTGTGTTGAGAGTTGCAGCTGGGGGCCAGGGAGCAGCTGGTTAGTGGAGCTTCAGGGAAATGGGAAATTGAAAGAGATTGGCCGGGGAGCCCAGCAGCCCAGCTGTGGAGCGGCGGGAGGGATTGCTGGGTGCCAGCTGGGTGCCAGCCCGCTGCCTCCCAGATGAGGATGGAGCGGGGCCCGAGGCCTACGGGGAAGGAGGCCCGCTCCAGCAGACAGCCTGGGCTCGAGCCCACCCCTGTCACCAGCCCTTGGGCCCTAAAGGAGTTACTTAGCTTTTCCGAGCCTGCATTTCATCCTTCGTAAAATGGCGATGACGACGAAGTGTCCCCCCACCCCCACCACGGGTAGTTTTGAGATTTATGCAATATTGTGTGAAGAGCGTCATGGCATAGAAAGTACCACACCGACATTAGTCATGAGCCCGTGAGCCCTTCAGATAAGGGGCTCGGGGCAGATAGAGACTGGTGCTCAGATCCTATTTTATTTTCTGTTTTTTATAATTTTTAAATCTGTTTATTTATTTATTTTTAAAAAATGTAATTCGTGAGAGACATGAGAGAGAGGCAGAGACACAGGCAGAGGGAGAAGCAGGCTCCCTGTAAGGATCCTGATGCGGGACTTGATCCCAGGATCTGGGATCACAACCCGGGCCGAAGGCAGACGCTCAACCACTGAGCCGCTCAGGCGTCCCCTATTTGATTTTTTAAATTGCACAAAACTAGGAACCCTGGGTGGCGCAGCGGTTTAGCGCCTGCCTTTGGCCCAGGGCGCGATCCTGGAGACCCGGGATCGAATCCCACGTCGGGCTCCTGGTGCATGGAGCCTGCTTCTCCCTCTGCCTGTGTCTCTGCCTTGCCTCTCTCTATCTCTGTGACTATCATAAATAAATAAAAAGTAAAAAAAAATCTAAAAATAAATAAATAAATTGCACAAAACTTCCTCTCTCTGTGGCCCAGAGTGAGTGAGTAACAGGGCAGAGTGCCCCGAGACGGAATCGGCTGTGGTCATCGCCCCAAGCCTGGGCTCCTGGGCTGAGAGCCGTCGGGGGCCGTGGGGCCTGGGCAGCTGGCACCTGTTCTTCCCCTGTGCGCCCACGAACGTGGAGCAGGGGTGAGGAGGCCGAGGCTCCGAGAGGACCCACAACCCGGCTATCGCCTTCCCTCCTCCCTCCCTTTGCAGGCTCACATCCTTCCTGTCCAGCCCTCAGCCACAGGTCACAGGACTTAGCAGAGACACTCCTGTGGTTTCTGCAGTGAAATTTGTCACTGCCTGTCCCTCACCCTACCCCTTGGGCTGAGGTTTTTGTCTTCGCTCAGTAGCTCAGATAAGTCCCTTGAGGGCTGGGAGGTGCGCAGCGATGCCTGAGGAACCTGGGGGTGTGAAAACCAGGGGGCTGGGGGCCAGGCGGTGCTCCCTGCCCAGTTCTTAGCACCAGTAAGTTCCACGGCCGGGGCAGACCGCAGGTGAGTCCTAGGCCACCCCGCCCCCTGGGGGGAGCGAGGAGGGGGGAGCCCCCTAGGCCGGCCCGGGGTGAGGGGTGAGCTAGGAGGGGGAGCAGAGAAAATCAGATCCAGAGAGGAAGATCGGGTGTGTCCTGGGGAGGCCCCCCCCCCAGGCCCGTCCCACCGGCCGGAAGCCGATTCCCTCCGGCCCCCAGCAAAGCCCGTGATGCCCCTGACCGCACCCTGCGGTCACCTCTGTCCCCTCAGCCGCCCTGGGAGAGCCTCAGCTCTGCTACATCCTGGATGCCATCCTGTTTCTGTACGGTATTGTCCTCACCCTGCTCTACTGTCGACTCAAGGTAAGGACAGGGAGGTGGATGGGGGGGTGGCATGGCTTTGAGGACAGGAAATAACGGGGTCCCCATCAAGTCGGGAGGGGCGGGGTTGGGCCACTAACTTCACCTCCACCGATTACCTCCCCTTGCAGATCCAGGTGCGAAAGGCAGCTGTAACCAGCTACGAGGTATGGCCCCTCCAGACGCTAAGCTTCAGGGGTCCCCCCACTCCCCCCCCCCACCTAGCCAACACTGAGCAGGTGACAGGGGACAGTTGAGTGGCGAGGAGCGCGGGAGAGTTGTGTGCGGTGCAGGCATTGATGAGCTGAGCCGCTAAGCTGGCCAGCTGGGCCTGGCCCCCCTCACCGGGAGGGGGAGGGCAAGGAGGTGCTAGGGCCCTGAAGGAGCGCGGGTGCCTAATCCCCTGTCCCTTTTGCCTCCGCAGAAACCAGATGGCATTTACACAGTGAGTGAGCCCGCCTCCCCCCACCCCGTCCTGGGATTTGTGTGATCTTGGGAAGACACAGGGTCTGTGGGCGAGGGTGGACTTGAGCCCCTCACCATCCTCTGGCCTCCACTTCTAGGGCCTGAGCACCCGGAACCAGGAGACTTACGAGACCCTGAAGCATGAGAAACCCCCCCAGTAACCCTAGAAGACTTCCTGCCCCTCCGGGGTCTCCTCCTCTGCCACAGACGTGCCCAGATGCTAATCGTTAATGTTTATATTCTAATCTCGCCGCCTTTCCCCACCGTCCTCTTTCCCATCTCCATGTCCCCCCCGCCCCCCCCCCCGTGGAAACGGAGTACCCAATAAAGCCCCACGGGCTGGACTCTACTCACTCGGTCACCGTATAGTCATTCGGTCTCTGCCAGGCGCTTGTCTGGGGGCTGAAGACGCCCCTTGGGGTGACAGCCCCTGACCTTACGGCGCCCACGGTCTGGTGGACGTCAGGGCTGCGTTGCTCAGTGGAGGGAGGAAGGCTGTCGCGGCTGGAGCGGGGATGAGACGCTCGGCCGCAGGCGGCGGCAGAAAGCTGGAGCAGGGCCCATGTCGGGGGTCTAGGCACACTCGGGAACGTGGGATCTAAGGACTGACGTCTGCACCCGGTAGCTTTGTGTCTGGCGACTGAAACCAAGGCTGGGCACAGAGAAGGCTGGCTGTCCAACCCCAGGCAGGCACAGTCCAGGTGAGAGTGAGCCGTAGGGAGCAGCGGGGAAGCCTGACCTGCAGAGCCGTGGCCCCCCAGGACTGTGGGCCGCTCCTGGTGGAAGGTTTGACGGGAGCAGTGAGTTCTCAGTGGGGTCCGGGGCAACAGGCACCTGAGAGGGCCTGGTAAGCGTTGGAGGAGGGTGAGGCAACAGGGAACAAGTGCCGTCTAGATGGGAGTTCAGCTCCCAGGCAGGTCGGCCTGTCCCCTTGGGCTCTCCCAGGAGGCAGGATTCCCTGTGGTACCTGCATCCCCTCAGACGCTGCGGGGCCTGCACCAGACCCCGCAGCTCAGGCAGCCTGGGCCACGCATCCCCCGCCGCCCCCAGCCGCCCCCCACCCCCCGCCGCCCCGCCCCGGGGGCGGGCTCAGCCCCTGCAGGGCGACTTACACCTGCACCCTGGTCCCTGTCTCTGTTTGAGCTGCTCACGAACCCTGGGGAGAGGATCCGGCTCTGGGAAGTTGACTAATCAGTCCAAGGGCATCTTGCAAGTGACAAACAGAACAGACTGGAGCCACGCTGGGTGCCTGGGAGCAGTGACTTCAGATGAGCTGTGAGAAATGAGCCAGGTCTGCAGGTAACTGCTCCGAGTGTGAGGGGGGAGCAAACTTTTATTGGAAAGTGCAGCCTCTTCCTTGTGCTACATTTTGGTCCTGTGAGTCTCTGACATCAGCCCAGCCTGAGTTCCATTCCATTTTGGTTTATTTTATTTTATTTTAATTATTCTATTTATTTCATTTATTCATGAGACACACAGAGAGAGGCAGAGACACAGGCAGAGGGAGAAGCAGGCTCCATGCAGGGAGCCCGATGTGGGACTCGATCCCGGGTCTCCAGGATCACACCCTGAGCCGAAGGCAGATGCTCGACCACTGAGCCCCCCCAAGGACCCCTCCATTTTCACTTAATCCAGGAGAACTGTCAGGCCCCTGGCTGGCCATCACGTCTGCGGGTTCCAGATCTGGCTACCTGGCCAGCTCTGCGAATAGCACCCAGATGACAGGGGCAGAGGTTTGGAATGGGGGTTCCTCTCTAGGTGAGAGGTTTTATTTTTATTTATTTATTTTTATTTTTTTATTTATTTTTTAGGTGAGGGTTTTTTTTTTTTTTTTAAATTTTTATTTATTTATGATAGTCACACAGAGAGAGAGGGAGAGAGAGGCAGAGACACAGGCAGAGGGAGAAGCAGGCTCCATGCACCGGGAGCCCGACGTGGGATTCGATCCCGGGTCTCCAGGATCGCGCCCTGGGCCAAAGGCAGGCGCCAAACCGCTGCGCCACCCAGGGATCCCTAGGTGAGGGGTTTTAAATGGAAGAAGGGTTTGAGCACTTTTGGGGAAAAGGAGTGAATCCACTCCGTGTCTTTTCTTCTAGGAATTGGGGGGAGCATGGCATTCCCCTGGCTCAGAAGGGAAGTAAAGGTTTTGAGTGACAGCTCTGGTTCCTTTATGGGAAGCTTTCTCCTCTTCACAGAATGATTAAGAGGAAGTTCTGGAGCAGGGGTGCCTTCCTTCCTTGACGTTCAGGAGTCAAGGGACTCAGTTTGTGAATCTTTCCCACCTTGCGCCATCCCTTACCTCTGTTGCAGGGCAGGTCCCAGGCTGTGGGAAGATGCGTGGGGCATGGAGAAGACTCAAAGACACCACTCCCCCGTTGTCTCCACCATCCATCTTTTCAACCCTCCCTCCGCTCCTCACACCAAACCCCTCTCCTAGCAGGAGCAGGCCTCTCTGTCCTGCCCTCACCAATACCCCTACTTCTCCCAGTCCCCCAAAGCACCAGGCTCACACATGACTCCTTCAATATTTATTTAGAAAACAAGGGCCCTGAGCCTGGCCAGTGGGTGTTCCAGGGGCCACCTGGGGATGGACGACAACAGTCCGGACACCTCACTGGGTGGCAGGCTGTGTTTTGAGGTCCATGAAATTGCTCAAGAAGTTGAGCAGATCAGTGCCGGCCTTCTTGACCAGGGGTGTTAGCTGCTCCTGCGTCTTCTCAAAGTAAGCCCTGTAGATTCAAAGGATTAGAGGTCAGGGTGAGAGACCCCAAGCACTGGCAGGGGCCTCGGTGGTGCTGGGAGGTGACACCCAGCTCCCCAAACTAGTGCCTGGTCCATCCTGGCATGGCAACGGTCCTAGGAGAAGAGGCAAGCCCTCCACTGGGCAGAGGAACAGACCTTGGAGACAGAAATTCAAAGCCTAGCTACTGCTGGCCCTGTCTGTCCAAGAGGACTGTGGGATCTTTGGGGGGGGGTAAAGACATTTTTCTCTCCAACTTAAACCCCCTTGAGCTCCATCTTCTGTGCAAACTCCCATCTTCTCTTCTTTTTTTAAAAAGATTTTATTTATTTCTTTAAAAGATTTTATTAATTTATTCATAGAGACACACGGGGTGGGGGGAGGGGAGAGAGGCAGAGGGAGAAGCAGGCCCCATGCAGGGAGCCCAACGTGGGACTCGAGATCCTGGGTCTCCAGGGTCACACCCAGGGCTGCAGGCGGCGGTAAACCACTGCGCCACCAGGGCTGCCCAAGATTTTATTTATTTATGAAGGGCTACTGAGCCACCCAGGCGTCCCCAGTCTTCTCTTCTTCCTCTCTATAGCTCCCTAGTTCCTGAACCTCCCTTTCTTTTTCTTCTTCCTTCCTTCCTTCCTCCCTCCCTCCCTCCCTCCCTCCCTCCCTCCTCCCTTCCTTCCTTCCTTCCTTCCTTCCTTCCTTCCTTCCTTCCTTCCTTCCTCTCTTTCTTTCTTTCTTTCTCTCGTTTTCTTTTTTAAAAGATTTTACTGGGGGTAGCCCGGGTGGCTCAGCGGTTTAGCGCCACCTTCAGCCCAGGGCACGATCCTGGAGACCAGGGATAGAGTCCCACGTCGGGCTCCCTGCATCGAGCCTGCTTCTCCCTCTGCCTCTCTCTCTCTCTCTCTCTCTCTCTCTCTCTCTGTGTGTGTGTGTGTGTGTCTCTCATGAATAAATAGGAAATTTGAAAAAAAAGAAAAAAAGATTTTCTTTTCAAGCAATCTCTACACCCAATGTGGGGCCCAAACTCACAACCTGGAGATCAAGTCGCACACTCCACTGACTGAGCCAGGCGGATGCGCCCCCTGAGCCCCTTTCACTGAGACTTACTTGGCCTGGGCCTGAAGCTCTGGGCCCTTGGCCTTCTCCATCAGGTCCTTGCCATAGTCGGTCACGGTCTGGAAGTACTGAGAGACCAAGCTCTGCAGATTTGGCTCCTCTGCCTGTCTCCGCACAAAAGCCCCTGCATATACACAGAAACACACACGGACACGTACACACACACACACACACACACACACACACACATCTTGTGGGCTGGGTCCCCAACAATGAGTCCTGGCCCCCTGCCACGTCTCTGCCGGTAGCCAGCCCCAGCTTTCAGCCCCCTCCCTGAATAGGTACCCAGCTCCAGGTCTTTGGATGAGCCTCCTGAGCTTTCGAGAGGGAACGATCTTTCAGATGGGTAGCTGGGACCCTTGGTACCTTCTCCCTCTCGGGACCCCTCTCCATATCACACCCACCTTCGAGGCTACAGATGACCAGGAGCAGCACAGTCACGGCGAGTAGCTTCATGGTGGTAACAGTGGGGATGGTGGCCTCGAAACAGCTGGGGGTGGGGGAGGACGTTGAAGCCGAATGAGCTTTAGCCCCTCCCCAGACACCCCTACCTAGGTGCCCACTGCAACCCTGGTTCCCTCCGTTCCCACGGGATCCCTTTTTGGATCCTGGCCCACCGCTCGCTCTCTTACCCTATCTTGTAGCCTCTTCGTCCTTGCTGTCTGTGCCTCACCTGGCTGGGGAGCCAGGGACTATATAGACTTCTGCTTCCCCACCCCCCTGTCAGGTGATAAGGGCTGTGGAGGGGCTCCATGGGGCAAGGAACATGTTGGAATAAACAAGCTGGGGGAATGGGATAGGAGAGGACCAGCATGTGGGGCACTCATGGTGATGAGGTGGGAGTCAAGGGGTGTGGACCTTCGTGGAGGCCAAGGGGGTATACCTCAGGCTTATTCAATAGTCATTCTTTTTGGGTGTGGGGCTATTAGTGTTTGGACTTTTTAAAAAAATATTTTATTTATTCACGAGAGACACAGAATGAGGCAGACAGATAGGCAGAAGAGAAGCAGGCTCCCTGTGGAGAGCCCGATGCAGGACTCGATCCCAGGACCCTGGGATGATAACCTGAGCTGAAGGCAGACGCTTAACCACTGAGCCACCCAGGTGCCCCCAGTCTTTGGATTTAAATACCACAGAAAGCAGGATTCCTAGTTTTCTCCCAGAAAGCCCTGGTAGCTTTTTCCCATTGTGGGTAGATTTCACCTCCTCAGCCCTACCTGCAACTTGGCAGAGAGGTATTGGGGAACAGAGGGAAGGGGAAAGGAATTGAAATTAAGAGAGGAAGGTCAGGGGAAGGAGGATTAGGAGAATAAGGGTTAGGGCCAGAGGGCATGTGTCATGGAATCGGTCTCTTTTTCAGTTAATGTGTAATGAGCTGAGGAAGTAAAAACAGGAGAGCCCAGAATGACCTCCTGAGTGCTGATGAGTCCACCCTTCCCCCAGTAAAACAAATTCAGAAAGTAGCCTCTGCCTTCCCTTGCAAGTGGCAGGCCCAGCCAGAGAGGAAGTCAATGAGTCTTCTACCAAGGATAAAGGTTGATGCCCCCTGGTCACTGGATGACCTGATCATTCTCAGGTCGTGGTCGGCCAGTATGAGTCAGCAGGGGCCACAGCATCCCTCCGGCAGAGGCCGGCCGCGGGGCTAGCCCTGATTGTGAGGGAGGACAAAGGTACACTCCCCAGGCCCAAGGCAGATGAAATCAGCTAAACATACATCAGAAGCATTTGTATCTTTTACCCTTTTGCCCTCGAAGTGTACATGGAACATTCTTGAGAGATGGAGATGGAAGTGTGAGGGCTAGTGAGGGAAGGGACCCGAGCTCCCCCAAAGTCTTATTCCACCTTCATCTATTCCCCTGTGGAGTTCTTAGTCCTGAAGGGCACGCCGCGGACTGTCCCTGGCTCTGGAGTGGAGCCCATGTGGGGGCCAGAGTCCATAGTCCTAGATTGTATTTGCCAACTATGCCTGGACAATGAGGGAAGGATTTCGCGATGGGGGGCGGGGTGGGGGGCAGCTGTTTCAGGGAGTAGTCTCCTGCTAGAACTAAGTTTGAAGCCCCTGCTCCTCTACCCCAAACTCTCACCCCTTCCCATTCCACCAAGAGAAGTAGAAGGTGAACTTTGAGAGGTGTCGACCTCCAGGTCCTCGGGAGAGCTGACCTTGGGGGTGGCACTCCTGTGCAGGTGCCCGGGGTGCTGCGGTGCACGGTGGAGGGCCGCCAGGAGGCCCTGGGGGTTGGAGGGGGGTCACCCGGGAGCCTTATGAACCAGGGTTCCATATGCTGTAGTCACAGTCACTCCCTAGGCCACCCATCACAAAACTGGAAGCCTCCAGGCTGCAGGGAGAAAGTAGTTTCGGTGCCCAAGCTCCAAGATGCTCCCTCTAGCGTCTCGCGCGCTCACAGCTTCATCCCGCCCTCGCCGAGGCCGGGCGACCTAAGGCCACCTTCCCGAGCAAGCCTGCGGAGCTACCAATCCAGTCCCGCCCGCCTCTGCAGGGCCTGGGTTGGAGCTCTCTGCACCCGAGTCAGCCCCCCCTTTGCTTCCTCCTCGCCCATTGGCCCCGGGGAGATGGAGGAGTCTTCTTTTCTTTTCTTTTCTTTTTTTTTTAACGATTGGGCGGGTCCAATCAAGGGAGGGTCGGGTCTTTGATGCCTTTTTTTGCCCGCTTCCAAGATGGCGCCCACGACCACGCTGAGAATGCAGCGTGAAGCCGCAGTTCTGCCATCACTCAAGATGGCTGCCCCCATCAAGATGACCGGGGTGTGCCGGGGGAAAAGGGGCAGCATGACAGTCTGAGACGGTAAGGGCTGTTGCTTCATTGCAAACCTCGCCTTGGGGCCTAGGAATGAGGAGTAGAAAGACTGGGAAGCTGGTTGAGGTCTGTGATGAGAGCTGGGATTAGAGAACGGAGGCGAGGACGGGGTGACAGGTGGGGGTGAAGAAGCAAAGATGGGATGGGAGCGGGTCTGGGGGTCCGTCTCCCCACCGGCATCCTCTCCCCACTCTTCCTGTTCCAGGTCTAGCATCGGACCATGTGGAAGTATCTGGGACTGGGGAGTCGGAGGATGCGGGGTGGGGCCCGAGGGGGGTAGAGGGAGCAATAGCGTCCTTTCTCAGGCTAACCCCGGCCCCTCCCGTGACCCCTGGACGGAGATGGGGAACACACTGGGCCTGGCACCGATGGGGGCTTTGCCCCGCCGGAGCCCCCGTCGCGAGGAGCCTCTGCCCAACCCTGGGAGCTTCGACGAGCTGCACCGGCTTTGCAAAGGTGAGAGCTTGGCATTTGGGGGTCTCACTTTGAAGGGGCAGAGGAGGGGAGGGTCTGGAATCTGGGGTGTCCAGTGATGGGAGCAGGAGAGGGCAGATCCCAGCGGGGGCATCCAGCCTCAGGGAGGATCAGGTGCCCCAATGGAGCGGACCATTTCGTGGTAGGACTCCAAAGGAGGTCAGTTCCTCCAAAGTGCTTTCAATGGGATGGAAAGGGGAGACGAGTCTTGGGGCAGGGGTTCCTTGTCTGTGCTTACTCCCCCTTCCCCTCCCCGCACCCCCTTCAGATGTGTTCCCAGCACAGATGGAGGGAGTAAAGCTCGTGGTCAACAAGGTTCTGAGCAGCCATTTCCAGGTGCTCCCCCTTCTCTGGCCCTCCCTACCATTCCTCCCTGCCCATCCCTGGAGCCTCTCCTCCTTGCCTTTGCACTCAAGCCTTACCCAGGCTACTGTGGGACAAAGGAGGGAGGATGCGGGGCTCTCTCCACCTCCCATGCCTGCGGGACTTGTTGCTTTGAGTCTTGGTGACCCTCTCTGTGTTGGAATATTTGGGGTTCTTGGAAGGCCTTCTGGTTGGGGAGAAGAGGAAGGGTGGGACGGGGCCTGAAAGTGGCAGGAATGCTTTCCTCCATTGACTGCTCTTCCCTCAGGTGGCTCACACCGTGCACATGAGTGCCCTGGGCCTGCCAGGCTACCACCTCCATGCGGCTTATGCAGGGGACTGGCAACTCAGCCCCACCGAGGTGAGGACTCCTTGCACCTGGGCCGTCTCTCTAGAAGCCACCACCCCACCCCACCCCCGGCCCTGGGGCTCGGGTCTAGAGGTGGAGGAAACGTGTGTGTTGGGGGGAGGGATGTGCAGGGCCCCTGCTTCTCTCGGTTTTCTCTCCGTGGGAGGAGAGAGTGGGGGCAACAGCTGTGGCAAGAGCCCGGGCTTGTCTCCGTGGCTCCACTAGGGGGCGCCGGGTACTGTTAAAGAAATCCTGGCTGGCTGGCTGCACGCTGCCGGGTGCCCCCCAGGTCCCTCTTCCTGTGCCCACTCCCCAACAGGTGTTCCCCACCGTGGTCGGGGATATGGACAGCAGCGGCAGCCTCAACGCCCAGGTCCTGCTCCTCTTGGCAGAGCGGCTCCGAGCCAAGGCTGTCTTCCAGGTGACCCGGGCTTCCTGCCTCCACCCCCAGAGCCAGGCTGCTGCTCTGGGCTGGGGGCTCGAGGGAGGAGCAGGGCAGTAGTGACGGTGCGGGGGGAGGCAGGCTTTCCTCCTTGCTCTCCCTCCCCAGACGCAGCAGGCCAAGTTCCTGACGTGGCAGTTCGATGGCGAGTACCGGGGAGACGACTACACAGCCACCCTGACCCTGGGGAATCCTGACCTCATTGGGGAGTCGGGTGAGGAACTGGGACGGGGATGCTTTTTCCTCGTGGCTGCCCACCTGCTAGTGTCGGCTGTGGCTCCTCATGGTCTGGAAGGTTCGGGGGTGAGAAGCATCCTGGGCAGGCTGGGGGGCGGGGAGCGGGCCTGGCTGCCATCCCTACGACTGACGCCGTGTCTCCCCCGCTGCCCCACAGTGATCATGGTCGCTCACTTCCTGCAGAGCCTCACCCATCGGCTGGTGCTGGGAGGAGAGCTGGTTTATCACCGGCGGCCGGGCGAAGAGGGGGCCATCCTGACACTGGCTGGGAAGTACTCGGGTATGGGCTGAGGAGGGGGCCTGAGCGGAGGGGACCCTGAACTCGGGGCAGCTCCTGGCCTGGGTCCTGCCACAGTAACTCTCCTTGCCTCCTGTGCTTTGGTTTTTGCAGCTGTCCACTGGGTGGCCACGTTGAACGTGGGTTCAGGTGGGGCCCACGCGAGTTATTACCACAGGGCCAACGAACAGGTGAGCCTGCAGATCCGCCCCCCGCCCCCCAGCCGGTCAGTCGTGAACTCTGGCCCCCACGGGCCTCTGCCGGCCCTGCTGCCCTGCGGTGCCTCCCACCCACACGGCTTGGCTGTCTCCGGCAGGCCTTCATTCTGCTGAGCCCGGGCGGCCTCCGCAGTGCCCACTGACACAGGCCCTTCCCCCATCCTTGCCGTGGTTCTCAGGTGCAGGTTGGAGTGGAGTTTGAGGCAAACACAAGGCTGCAAGACACAACCTTCTCCTTTGGTTACCACCTGACTCTGCCCCAGGCCAACATGGTGTTTCGAGGTGAGGGTTATTAAGATGGCATTTGCAGGTGCTGAGGACCTGGGGGGGGGGCAGAGGGAGGGAAGCCTACTTCTGATCCCTCTGTCCACGCCTGTGAAATAACCTAGTCTGTATCCTGTTCCCCAACAGGCCTGGTGGACAGTAACTGGTGTGTGGGTGCTGTGCTGGAGAAGAAGATGCCCCCCTTGCCCGTCACCCTAGCCCTCGGAGCCTTCCTCAATCACTGGCGCAACAGATTCCACTGTGGCTTCAGCATCACTGTGGGCTGAGGTGGCCCCAGAGCCAGCCCCCACAGACGCTGGAACCTCTGAGTCAGGTGCCCTAGGGCCAGAGACTAGGCCCCTCTCCAGAGCCCACCTTGCTGGGTGACCCCTCGGTCCCAGGAGCAGAGTGGGGGACAGGACCGTGCCCTCCTCAGAACTGGAGCTGCCACGGGGGCAGCTGCTGAGGCCGTGGTGTGAGGCTCCCACCTCCGCCACCGGCCCCAGGGTCCTCTTCCCGTGCTCTTGTGGCTCTGGACGAAGGGAAGAAAGATTAAGGGGTATGTCTGGCCGACTTTTCCCCCCTCTTCTCCCCCTTCTTCGTTTCCCTGTGGATTAAAGCTCCTAGCTTCTTCCTCTTCAGAGCAGACCAGTCTGCATGGGATTAGCTCCCTATCCTGTTTTCCATCCCAGAGTCTCCCAGGGCTGGGAAAGAAGGGCTGAAAGGCTAAACCTTGCACCTCAGAAAGTGCCCCCCACACTCTGGCCCCAGTTCCCAGAAGGAGCTTCTTTACCTCTTGGCCCTGAGGCTTCCTCCTTCCCATCTTTTGTGCATCCAGAGAACAGCTGTGTCCCCACGGTCATCATCCCCCACCACCCCAAGACTGCATGAAGCGGCGGTTAATCACTTTAGTCTTTCATTACGACCACTGGGCTCCCTTTCTACCGATCCTGACCTCCGGCCCCAGCATTTGCCCCTTTGCAGTCCAGTGTGTCCAGGTGGGCCGGGGAGGAGGCGGGCTGGGGCGTCAGCTGCAGATCTCCTGGAGCAGCGGCATCATGGCAGACAGTCCCTGGATGTGCTGGATTTGGTGTCCGTACGCATTGTTAATGCTCCGGAGCTCAGCCAACAGGCCCAGCAGCTTCGCATACAGAAACCTTTGGAGGAAGTAGTGGGGTCACCAGGGAAAGAGGGAAACGAGGCAGCCGAGAGTGTTGTCTTGAGGTCCCACTCCCCTGAACTTCCCTCAGTGAGGCTGGGTCTGAACACTACAGAAAGTCTTGCTCCGGTATGACAAGTTTATCAAAAATTCCAAAGGCCCCCAAGGGGCCCTCTGACACTGTCTTCTCTCACCATGCTGTTTTTCTTGACTCCAGAGGTCTGAGGGCCGGGTGTGAAGAAGGCCCCAGACTTGGTCAAAACTTCAACTGTGTGGAATCTGTGGATCTGGCCTTCTAGAGCAGGTTCTAGAAGGTGGGCGTGTTGTGTGGTATAAAGCATCCCTCTTCTAGCCAAACTGGCTCATTGAGGAACAAACGAGAACAGGTGGAGTGTACCTCAGAGCCTGGGTAGATCACGGACTGTTGAGCCAGGGCCTGGCTTTGGCCATGAACCTGAACGACCGTAACTTCAAGGGGAATGAAAAATGAAAGGATTGGGCCATTGGAGAGGAAGGGAAGGGCCAAGGAGAGAGAGCAAACAAGAATCTTGGAAGGCTGCGTAGCCCGGAGAGTGGGACTGGTAAGGCGATGGGTGTCATCAATCTCAGGAATGCTATCATACAGAGCCTGCGAGCTACTACTTTGCATCTACTGAATAAAAAAAAAAAAAAGTCTGGAAAAAATCCGATGAAACAGCAGTAGGAGCGGTTTGGATGCCAGAACCATATGAGGTGCAAAGGGAAGGACTAGAGCCCCCCAGGGACCCGGTTTCCCAGAGGCAAGGCCGGTAGAGCGTTGCTCCTGAGCTCAGTGCTCCCCTCGCTGTGCTGCCCCTGCAGCTCCCTAGCACCCCCTCCCCGTACCCCCTCCAACCCCCCCCACACCCCCCATACCTATCCCGAGGCCTGGGCCGCTGGCCTCTGATGTAGCTCTGCAGGGTCAGGGCCATCACCTCTTGCAGACGGTCGATCTCCTCCCTCCGGGTAACCCCAGGCCTGTCTGGAAGGCACGGGGCGGGGAAGGCCGGGCTTGGGTTTGCTGACAAAGGCCCGGGCTGGAGGGAGTCGGGGGGCCGGGAGGAGCTGAAGCTTCTGGGCTTTGGGGGATGCTCACCGGGAGAGAAGAGGGCCATGGCGGCCAGGAGCACGTACTCGGGCTCCTGGAGCTGGAGTCGCTTCAGGGTCCCATGGAAGCGAAAGAGCAACTCTAAAAACTCTTCCTGGAAGCCCGCTGGGGGAAAGGCTAGTCTTAGGCTCCTTCTGGCCGGGCCACAGGGCAGGGGGCAGGGGGCAGGGGGCAGGGGCAGGAGCAGGGGCAGGGCAGGCCGCAGCCCTGGGTGCGAGCACCGCACCGCCTCACCGTGGACGCCGTCCTCCATCGTGTAGCGCAGCGGCCCGCAGAGGAAGTGTCGTGTTTGGAGGCAGAACGTGGTGTTGAGAGCAATGTGACAGATTTCCACAGCTGCGCCCTTGAGGAGGGAGATCTGGTCCTCCATGGGCAGGGACCTTGGGGAGCACAGGAGCGCGTTAGACTCTACCTGGGCGGGGAGCTCAGAGCTCCCACTGAACCCGCTTAAGAGCAAAGGAGGGGATCTAGGACCTGGAGCTTCGGCGAGGCTGCAGGATGGGCTAGTGCGTCCGTGACTGTGTGTGTGTGTGTGTGTGTGTGTGTGTGTGTGTGTGTGTGAGAGAGAGAGAGAGAGAGAGAGAGATTGTTATTTGTTTTAAAGATTTTATTTATTCATGAGAGAGATACAGGCAGAGGGAGAAGCAGGTTCCCTGCGGGGACCCCGATGCAGGACTCGATCCCGGGACTCCAGGGTCACGGCCTGGGCCAAGGGGAGGTGCAAACCGCTGAGCCACCCAGGGATCCTGAGAGATTATAATTTCTCAGAGTGCTTTCCTCCCGAAAGGTAAGGGGAGCTCACGTACCGGAAGAGGGGCAGGTCCTTGGTGAACTTGATGACTTGCTGTACCATGAAAGTGTTGATGTCCGCCAAGTGCATGAGCAGAGGCATCACAGGGACTGCGATGGGCAAGCGCTGGTAGTGGGTGAACAGATGAGCTGGAGGCTGCAGACATCAGAGCCTAAATGAGCGGCTCGGGTCCCAGGGATCTCTCCAGCCCTGTCTTGGAAGGGTTCCGGGCCTAGGAGCCTGTCTATACTGGGGTCCTGGAGAAGTCTTGCCCTCAGGCCAGCGCCCTCGGGCACCCTTGGGGTCACATTTCAGCCCAAAGCCTCTATCGGTTCTCACCCTGAACTGCACAAACTGGTCAAACATGGTGCCCACGTGGCGGGTGTGAGCCCCCAGGAGTGTCTGGACTAGCTCTTTCTGCTCCTTGCTCAGCTGCAGAGGTGCTTGCTGGGCCCGCCGTTGGGCCTGCTTTGCTCGCCGCAGCGCCAGGGCTTCAGCCGACAGGATCACTGCCCGGGAAAGAGGACAAAGCCACTGAGGCCGGGGGAGAGCACCTCTCTCTGCCAGCCCCGTGCCCCGGACCCGTTGGATCCCCCGCACAGTGAAGGACACGGGAAGGGAGGAGCAGTCCTGAGGCCTCCTTGGGCTTGGCTGAAGTCCTGGAGGCTCAGGTGGTAGGGGTTCCTGCACATTCTCCCCAGCCTGCGAGGCACTGTCGGGGGTGAGGGAGGGGAGAGGAGGGTGGAGAATGGAGTGGTCATGGTGGAGGGAGATGTTAGCTTCTGGGCAAACACTGAAGAAGGAGGGCACTTGGTTCCTAAAACATCAGCCCTATAATTTCAAGGGTTCTGGGGTTACACCTGGCTGGATGGAACAATGCTATGGGTACACAGGGCAGGTGTTCTTATCCATATTCTTCAGATACGTGAGCGGGCTGGCTCTCCAGTGGCTGGTCCAAGGTCACAGAATACTAGAGTGATGCAGATAGAAATCCAGCGAAGATTTTTTGGCTCCTATGGTTTCCTATCCGCTGCTCCATATTGGAAACTGGTGTGATACCACGGGAAAGCTAGGGCTTGGGCGTCGGAAGGGTCTGAACACGGAGGCTGCAACTGAGGGAACTCAGGCACATTCCGTGAGCTCCAGTGACATCATCTGTTGGGAGCATAGCCTCATCATGTGGCACAGAGAAATGGCACTAAATGATTCACCCAACAGCTATCAAGTACCTACTAAGTGACGGGCACTACATGTGTGAGAGAGAAAAATCAGGCCATGTGAATATCTAGGGGAAGAGCATTCTGGGTAGAGGGAATGGCAAGCACAAGTGCACAAGTCCTGAGGAGTGTGTGCTGGGTGTGCTTGGGGTGGGGGCGGGGCACTGAAGTTAGGGTGGCCGTGATGGATTGAACCAGGAGGGAAGAGTAGGAGATAAAGTCTGGGAGGCTCTGTGGGGGAAGCTAGGCCATGAGATCTTGGACTGTAAGAGAGATGAGGGGTCACGGGGGTTTTGAGCAGAATAGGAACATCATCTGACTTGTTTCCAAAAGCTCACTCTTCTGGTGTGGAGAGTATGCTTTGGGAACAGAGGACAGAGCAGAGAGACCTGCTGGGTGGATTCTTGCGTTGGGAGGGGGCCAACTCACTTTCCTTCCTCATGCCAGCATCTAGGCACTTCTGCAACCTGCAGGCCGGGCAGTGGCGCCTCTGAGCCTTGTTGACCTTACAGCTTCCAGCGAAGGGGCAGGTGAGCCCGGTGCTTTTGCTGACCGTTCGTCTGTGAGAGATGGAGACACTCAGGAGGGTGGTCGTGGATGCCAGTGAACAGGTCGCCACGTGAGGGGCTGAGATGACATGGTCTAAAAGGATGTCTGGTGATGTGGGCCAATCTGAGCTGTGGCCAAGGGTCCCTAAGGGTGGGCAGGGTACAACACCTCTCAAGCGTTTCCACAGGGACACAGGATCACTTAGGAGAGCCTCGTTGGCACTGCACTGGCTCGGTGCTCTGCAGGTGGGGAGTACGTAATAAGTACTCTGGACCAAGGGGTTGTGTCCAGAGGACCAACACTCGGCCTTCCCTCTATTATTGTCACCTGTGTATGCAGTGTTGTGGTTGGCAAGATGTAGCATGCTAGCCACGGGGCAGTCAGGCCCTGAGAGGCAGGACTGGCTGGACAAGCCCGGGCATGTGCCAGGGCTGACAGGCTGCCCCGTGGGCAGTTAGGGAGGTCGTTTCTCCTGGGGAGGAAGCTCTTACCTGAAGAAGCCCTTGCAGCCCTCACAAGTCAGGGCATGGAAATGATAGCCCGTGGCTCGGTCCCCACATACCATACAGTTCCTGGGCTCATCGTCCCCACTGGCCATGGCCTCAGATGCTGTGATGCTGTCACAGGCCCCTGAGTGTGGGAGGGGTTAGCAGTCAGCCGGAGGCCACCCTTGATGCTCTTCTGCTCCTTCTGCCCGGCGATGGGACCTCTTCCTGAACCTTCCGTGGGCCTGACCCTCTGTCTTACCTGTGCTTTATTGCCTCTCATCTCTGGGCCCCAGAAGATTTCCTACCTGCTAC